ACGTAACCCTCAATATAATTGTACCGCCAGATTTAAGGTGTTTATGAGGTTTACGTCAGATTTTTATAGAAAATTTGCACTAAATTGGCAGTAATTGTTGCTTTCAGATAACCGTTCATACAGATCTAGGTTTAGATATAGTTGATGATTGTGCAACATGTTTCATCTGAATTTTATCAAATTTGGTATCTGAAGTTTTTAATGGATACCAATTCCACTGACAGAAAATTGCTTATACAGGTCCACACCTTGAAACAACCCCCATACAACGGTACCTCCCTATATACGGCTGATTTTATCTTCAGTTTTCATCGGAATAATTTCAAATTCGGAATTTGGAGTTCAATATGAGCACTAGTTCGTATAACAGAAACTTTTCCTTGCAGATCCACGTCTTTGTATAGTCCCTATGTAACGGTACCTCCCTATATTCGACATTTTTATGACGTTAGCTACATTTTCTGCAGAATGTTTGACCCGACCGACCGACTGGTTTTTTATTTCTTTATTTTTCAAGATTTAGCCACACTCACAAATTTGGACCTGTGAAGTTTCTGAATCTGTAAGAACAGGAGGGCCTAAAGCACCGAATTTGGTACCACTTACTCCGTCCATGTGTGATCCGAAAATTTGTATAGGGACAACGGTGATGATGGTGATAGTGTGATAATAGAAATTTACACTTGTGGCACATGAAGTACAAAGTAACAGACATACGGATGGACACACTCACACACAGACAGACAGCGAAACAGCAGCCAGCAACACAAAATATCATTGCGACAATTGAACGATATTTGAGCGTTGACGCCATCTAAACAATCACCACACACCGTTGCTTAAACGGCAGGAATTATCTTTGATTAAGAACGACGCATGGTTGCAGATCAGTGGCAGCGGTACGAAGCTTCAGCTCTGGTCTGGTCATTCAAAATTGTACTTGTGGCTGCGGGCAGATCTTTTTTTCGTTAGTTTTTTTGTTTAATACAAAATGTATTTATTAAACTTTAGAGAGAAAAAGATGACAAAAAAAGAATGTCCGATTGTTGTGTGTGCGAATCTCCTAAACACGGCTTTGGGGCTAGCGCGCTGCGTCGTCAACCACTGCAAGTGCTTTTATGTTACAGCGACTGCCCAACTCTGTGCCAAGCCACAACGTCAAATGATCCAATCCAATCCCGCAGCAACAGCAGCAACAAATCTTGAATTAGAAGCGCAACGACAACGAACAGCATTCATAGATTCGAAATCGGGAAGTGTTGGTCATTCGTTTGTGTGTGGAGTCCTGAGTAGCACACGGGTCTCGGTTTCTTCTCTGGTCACAAAAAGACGGATAGCTCTCGGATTAAATAAAGAAAACTATTCTTTAAATTAGTTACTTAAAGGCGCTTGAGCTAGAAACCCGCCAACAAAAACAACAACCGAACGAAATCAAGAAAAAAGCTAATTTAACATTTTAGAATCTGTTTAAATATTACATAACCGTTGGCCATCGAATCGAATTCATTGTGCGGTTGGATCTAAAACACGCGTCATAAATCCCCGAAACCTTTTACGTTTGACGGATTTTCGTCCTCAACGGGTTAGCCATCACAATCGTTCACGTGTAAGGGATCTATTCCTGAATTTCGTCATGCCGACCGTTGCCGAAGAGTCCATTGACGCCTTCCAGAACTACTATGCCCGTCCACCAGAGAGGCCAAAGAAGAAGTCGCTGAAACAAATGATCTACGATGACGAGACCCAGCAGTATTTCGGTCGGACTGTTGAAAGTTGGGGTAAGTTTTGGGTGAAAGGGAAAGGAGGGAAGGATAATGGTGGTTGGGGGGTAGGGGGTTTAGGAGATGGAAAAACAAAACTTAAAGGACAAGCCTAAGAGGAGAGCTGCAAAACTTCACGGCAATAATATATGAAAAGATTCTAAGAACAAATACTCCATATGTAAATCAAGGATCACGGATAATTTTATAAACCCTAACACTAAATTAAATATAAATAAATATAAATTAAAATATATTATATATAAAAACTTAGAATTCCTTCAAAGAATCTTTGAATTTCCGCCGATCATCTATTCAAATTTAAATTTGCGCTCGCATCTTTGTTCGCCAAGACTACAAAAATTTACAATCTTTATTTGCTCTGTCGTTCGCCGACTGATGCTGCGACAGATGAAGATTCCTAAAGCCTGACAGCTGTCAGACTGGCTTTATTTGAGTATATATGTGTGTGTGTCTGTGTACATTTAGATTTGTAGAACGATATCAATTAGATAATTGCCTCTATGCTGAGATTTGAGTGTGATTTCCATTATGTCTGACACTGTGACCTCTGCATTTGAAAATTGTGTGATTGATATCAAAGTGTGTGTAAATATTGTATATGTATGGGGATTAAAGCTATCAATGCGAGGTTCTTAAAGGTGTAAAGAATTGTATCTGAGTCTACGGTTTTTATGATATGATTATATAATTGCAGTTATTTAAGGATTTGTAAAATGCACATTTCGCCACAAAATACATCCTTAGAAGGAAAAAATGTGAGCCTGACGGATTTAGGCCTCTGATTAGGAGGTCAATTAAGCCGAAGTCTTTCTTATTAACGGGTCAGACTTGGGACTACCGACAAAGGAATCCAAAAAGAAGTTTTGAGTCTGGATTGGACAATTTGGGTTTTATCGGTGTACAAGGCGACAAAATAACACACACTACGTATTTATTATTTTTATCAGTTTCTCCAATGTATTTTATTATATCCTCAGCCATATTGCTAGAGGGGGTATGTATCATTTGACACGACTAAAACTTGCTTTATCGAAATTACGGTTTTAGACCCTAAGTTTCTTTGAACCAAATCCGTTTCAGGACATTTAGAGTCGATCTAGCGATGTTCGTCCGTCTGTCTGGCTGGTGCACTCGATAACTCTCGAAGGGAGTATCCGATTTGGTACAAACTTGGTACATCACAATATTAATATCAAACTTAGATCGATTTCGGAGATGGCAATATCGGTTCAATCCTTCTGGTACCTCCTCACAAAAGATCGACATTTTCAAAAATAAAATATTTTACTGCACAGAAAGAAAAGGGGTTATACGATTTTGTTTCAACTCTGCAAATCCCAATATTTCCATTAGTGCTACGTTAGGTTTGAAAATGAACAATATTGGTCCACTCCACCTCCCCCACAAAGGGTCAACATTTTGAATAATTATAATTTTTATAAAATATGGGGTAAAAGTCTGATGGTCTTTATGTTACATACATCACATTATTTTATTAACCTAAGGTCAGGTGTGAAGAGGGAAAATATCGGTGCACTCCTTCCGGTACCTCCCCCAAAAGGGTTTACATTTTTAATATATGTGAAGCTCATAAAACGCAAAATTAACATCCCATTCCATTCAAACCTGGCTTATCTCAATATTTCCATCAACACAAGATCTGTTATAAAGATAGTAGAGATCGCACCATTTCTTTTTGATACCTCCTCCACAAACGGTCAAAGTTTTGAATATCCAAAACTATTATAAAATCCGAACTAAGCACCCGATTCTTTTCATATTTCACACATCACAATATTGTAGCGACCCCAGGCCTGCTGTAAAGATGGGGTATATCGGTCCACTCCTTCTGGAAGCTCCTATTTGCTAGAACAAGGTCTGCGAACCCTTTCTGCTGCCTCGGCTTACAAATTACAATTTTCAATATTTATATCTGTCCTAACTTGCGAAAGAAAGCTGCGATTCTGTACTGTGATTCTTGCTATATCTAAATATTTCTCTCAATCAGAAACCTGAGATAAAAGTGGAATTTATGATTTTGCATAAAATTGGATATAAATGTTCGATTTACTTGTAATTTTGCCCATACCAATATTTGTATCTGTATTAGATGAAATATGAAAGTGGAATATTTCGGTCGACTATACCTGGTACCTAACACACATTTTAACATTTTTTAAAAATTATCACACATCTCATATAAAATTGAAGGAAGTATCCAATATAGTTCAAACCTGGCACGTTGAAATGTTAATATCATATTTATTTAGGTCCGATATATTGCAATATTGGCCCATTCCTTCGGAACTTACTCCATAGAGGATCAACAATTTGAATAATCATAAGAAAAGTCAAAATATATTTAAATAATCGAACATTGACTAAAGGTATACATCTGTCGTCTGCTACAAACCGACTGATATTTTTTAAATTTTTAATTTAGAATATTAGTTGGTATTACACGAAAACTTCCTCCGTGGAGATCGCCATTATATTCAAAATCTAAGTTAACACTTAACAAAAGTAATTTTATCTGATCCTGTCCAGCTCCTGCTTCGATTCAATTTTGTCTTTTGTCTTCCCTTTTACAGGTACTGACTTTTAATCATTTTGTACACACACTTTTCGCAGCTATTGTAACTGATTGCTATGCAAATATCTACACTGTTTGCTAACATTCATAACGCCTTTTTGCCTTTTCTTTCTTGTTACCTGTGAACTATGCTTTGTGTCGCATTTGGAGGGAAAATACCTCAGCTACCTGTTCCGTTAATGAAACCGAGTTTTTTTGTTGCAACCCTTATTTTGTATATAACACATTTGCACTGGCAGATTAATGTAGCCAGTGCAAATGTGTTATACAACATTGGCATAAAAACTAGAACTAGTTAAAAGAAGATAATTTGAGTGTTTTAAAAAGTAATGACATTTTAGCGTTTTTTCTTCGAACTACTAAAAACTTGTAGTAGATAAATTTGTCGTTAAGGTTTCACATTTTTATAATATCGATTTATGATATATATATATATATATATATATATATATATATATATATATATATATATATATATATATATATATATATATATATATATATATATATATATATATATATATATATATATATATATATATATATATATATATATATATATATATATATATATTGCGAACTATGAAACAAACCAACAAGATACGAATGATAATTTTACTTACTGTTTGGATTTGATCTGGTTTCAATTCAAGTTTTTGTACACATCCCGATTTAAGATATTTTAAGCCGTCATCCGTAGTTGGAAAAGTTCCCTGAAAAATGAAGTTATTTATTGATTAATATATGTTGTTAAATGGGTCAAATATAATGCAAGTGGAACCTATGCTAACCGGGCCTTATAATTTTATATCCACAAAAGGTTTGAGTAATTTTGACAATATCATTGCAACGCCTCGAAATACGCTACCTCCTTTTGCATTACTTTGAAGGTAGTATTTATAATTTCCACCCGAATCAGCTGTTATTTGGCATTTTGTTCGAAAGAAATGTCCTATACAGATTTAATTTCAATTTGCAATTGAATCAGATGCAATTCCACATTTTTGAACTATGAGTAGGTAGACTCATTTTTTATACGCTCCACCATGTATAGTATGGAGGGTATATTAAGTTCGTTATTCCGTTTGTAACTCATCGAAAAAATAATTTTAGACATAACAAAGTATATATATTCTTGGTTAGCGTAAAATTTTAAGCCGATTCAGCACTGCCCGTCCGTGCGTCTGTTGTTATCAGACTAGAGTCAAAATGAATGAAGATAGGAAGCTAAAATTTTGGACAGATCAGTCTCTTGTTTGCAGGCAGGTCATGTTCGAAGATGGATATATCGGTCCACGATATTCGGTATTTTGATGATTTTAGCCTCATTTTCCAACGGAATTGTTTGAAATTCCACATAAGGAGTTCTTTCTGAGTACTTTACACCCCGGAAGAAGAATTGTTTATGTAGATTCACGATATCGTATAGCCCCCATGCAACGGTACCCCCTGTATTCGGTATTTTGATGATTTTAGCCTCATTTTCCAACGGAATTGTTTGAAATTCCACATAAGGAGTTCTTTCTGAGTACTTTACACCCTGAAAGAGAATTGTTTATGTAGGTTCACGATATCGTATAGCCCCAATACAACGGTACCCCCTGTATTCGATATTTTGATAATTTTAGTCACATTTTTCAATGAAATTATCTGAAAATAAACACAAGAAGTTCCTTTTGAGTACTTTACCCCCTGGAAGAGAATTGTCTGTAGAAGTCCACGATATCGTTTAGCCACCATATAAATGTACCTCCCGATATTCGGTATTTTGATGATTTTAGCCACATTTTACAATGGAATTGTCTTAAATTCTACACAAGCACTCTAAGCACTTTACACCCTGGAAGAGAATTGTTCATGTAGGTGCATGATATCGTATAGACCACATGCAACGGTACTCCTCCGATATTCGATATTGTGACGATTTTAGGTACTAATTTCGTCGAAATTGTTTGAAATGTCGTAGTTGAAGTTGCTAACAGGTACTACATCCTGTGACAGAAATTTGTCTGTACAGGTCCAGGTCTTCGTATAGACCACATATATCAGAACCCCCACTATATTCGGTATTTTGACGATTTTAGGTACTATATTCATCGACATTTTTTAAAATTTCGTGGATGAAGTCCCTAATAGGCACTAGATTCTGTGACATAAAATTGTCTATGCAGGTCCAGGTCTTCATATAGCCTCGATATAATTGTACTTCTCCATATACAGCAATTCTATGATTTTAGCTACATTATTTACCAGATTTTTTCGTATTTGAATATTTGTATATGGCTTATGACAAAAGTTGCCTATGTATGTCCACGTCTTCGTATAGATCCCAATATAACGCCTATATTCGGTATTTTTGAAATTTTACTGGCATTTTTAACGGATTATATTTATTTATTATTATTATTATTATTATTATTATTATTATTATTATTATTATTATTATTATTATTATTATTATTATATATATTTTTTTTTTTTGAAAATGTTGTTCCAAATTGTGGAGGGTATTTAAACTTACTGCTTTTTATTTATTCCAAATAGGTCCTATATTTGTTATAGTCCCTTTATAATGGTAATTCCCGATAATAAATATATCGAAGGATTCAAATGAACTTTCTAATTAAATTTGCTACACACAAATCTGGTTTAAAAATTTCATATATAGCCTTCCTGCAAAAAAACAAAAAACTATCCATAAAAGTGCACTGTTTGGTATTATCCTCTTGAAACAGAATTTAAAGGTATTTTGAAGGTTTCAGGTTTCCCAAAAGAATTGGTATTATTTGCAATTATCTGGTACAAAATCACTCTACCAAAAAGATTCAACATTGGACCTACATATGACTTAATTATATCCGATTTCACTTGTTTTTGCGGACCATAAACTTAAAATATAAGTGGGTAATGATATTTCTCTAAATGCCAGGTGTTTAGAATATACCTCCTTTTTTATAAAAATATCAGTTGGGTTTTTTCCTTTAGATTTTAAATATTTTTTAACCCACAGACTTGCATATAATTTAAGTTCTTCCCAATTTTTTCTCAAAAATTAGACCTAGTCGATCTTTGCGTCATTCTTACTCGGTTATGTTTTAAAGTACAAAACTATTTTGCGATATCCGTTAACGAAAATATAAAATTTGAAAATCAAATATGACAACAAACGAGTTTGTAAATCGATACGTTTCATTGTTAACTTTCCCATCCCTGCCATATAACTGGAAAACTAGTTGAGTGTATAGTTTAGACGGAAAGTGTTATAACAACGTGGTTAAAAACAACAAAAACAACAAACACACTACAAATGTATCTTATGGATGGTGGATGAATGAATGTATACACAAAGAAATCGGAGATCTCTACGCTAGACGAGAGAAGAGAGTTGGGTTGAGTTGAGTGTGCCCTCAGCCACGAGAAGTGACAACAAAAGGGTGCGGCGGTAAGGCATTTGTGTTAATCGATTCAAGCTTGAAAATTTTCTTGTTTTGAGTTGTTTAACAATTTTCCGAAACTAAAATGAGTTGAATTTCGTTTACAATCGAAATCTTGTTCTCTCTCTGCTCTTTCTCTGGCATCCAATTAACTCATCATTGTTAAAATGCCAAACTGTCGATCATGGCTTCACTTGGACAGACGGGTTTGTTTACGAGCTGAGCACCCAACCAACAACCACAACAGACCAGATACATTTTTTGGAGGTTCTCCCGCTCTTTAACTCTTCTTGTTTGAGTCGTTTTCAGTTGGTTCGAAAATAGCTGCCATTGCCGTTGCTGGTTTATTGGTGGCGGTTTTTGAGACTATTTGGCCGATATTCAAGCCATGTCTCAGCAACTTAGATACTGGTTTTCAGTATGATACGAGTGTTTGTTTTGAAATGCGCTAACTAAGCAGTCCGAAAACGAAAAAAGAAGAAGAAAAAACAGACCGTCTCCTGGTTGAGTCAGCAAAAAAATAAAACAAATTGTGTTGTGTTGTGCAGTGGCTTCGTTTCAGAAAGCCTTGTGAATTGAATAGATTTGTAAACATAGATTTCTTAATTCAAAAATAATAACAAATTAAGCAAATATTTATCAAAAGAATCGGCCGAAAAGTTTCCAAACTAGTTCAAACAAATAATTACTGTTCAATACACGTTGTTCGCTGGAGGTACACTTGAGTCTGTCTCAATCTCACCTTAGAAGAGTTGTTAATCAAACTCTCTTTGAACAAGGTGTGGCTGTCTCAGCACAAAAGAAAAAAATGTGTTTTTTGTTAACAATTTCTTTTAAAACGGTGTTAAAATAACAATGCACTTTTCATAATGAAATAATTGAAAAATTTTGACTTTATGTGGCCTTTGAGAAATCGAAATTACACCAACAGATAAATGAATATTTGCCAATGACGCTATTCGCTTTTATGCGTGTTCTAAATGTTTTCAGACCCCCCAAAAATAAAATAATGTGCGGTTAATGAAGATTGTCTCGACGCTGCTGCAAATGATGATGATCAACATCATCATCATCTCCTTCATCGTCATTTCGTGATGATCCACATTTGCAAGATTTATTTATTTGTTTAGTACATTGACTTGACTCTGTGTATGGCCAAAATATTGCCATAGAAGAGATAAAAAAAGATAAACAAAATGCCCAAAAAGAAATGAAATCACAGGCTTCTTTACATTTGGCCATGACAGCAATACATTTTTCCGTAGAAATTTTTTCAAAGAAAATTATGGCTAAGAGTAGTTGCAAATGTACGGGCGATCGCGAGTGATCGTAGAATTCTTGTAATATCGGAAATCGGTTTCAATATATTTTTTTTTGGTTTGGTTTGGTTGTTTCATTTTGGGCATTTAGTTTCATTTTGTTTTTAATCTGCTTCTTGCGGTGGTGAATCAAGCTAAGCCTTAATGGTGTCTTTGTAAACAAAGAGAGAAACTTAAAAACACCGACTCCCGCTCTCACGAAAAGTACAGTGTCTGGCAAATAAAAAAGAAAATAAACGAGGTGCTGAAGTGTTATTGTGAAGAAGAAAAATAAATTATTCGATTACATAATAGTTGATATATTATTTATTTTTAATTTTTCTAAAGATCTAATCAGCAAGAAAACAAGAAAAAAGTTACAAATATTTAATCGCAAATAAAAAAAAATATTTATCACAAAAAAGGACTTTTATTGTCCTGGAAAACTTATTATTATTTAATTAACTTCAAATAAGCCACAACATGTCAAAGCCACGACCAATGCAGCACCACCAGCCCCACCATGCAAGCCTCGACCAGGAATTCCAAATACGACGCAAGGAATCCTTTCACTGGGGCACATTTTTATATAACACCGAAAAGGGCACCGTTATGGGCAGAGACAAAGTCTCATGGGGTAAGTTGTCTTAAGGAAAATAAATTGAAGAAAAAATAGGATATGACACTTTTCCTTTGAAAAATGCTCATGAGTGTGAGTCCTTTTTGGTTACCATAAAAATTCAAAGTGGATTGTTGATGGATTAAAGCAGTTTTATTTTTAATTCCACATAATGGAAAAAGCTAAGCTAAGAATATAAGATAATAGGTCCGTAGATGTAACAAAAATAAAAAAACCATAATGTCCTGCAGATATACAGGATTTCATCAAAGTCAATTCATGTTAAAAAATCATTGAAATTTTTTTAACAAGAAATACAGAGACGAAGTTTCATGGGGTAAGTTTTCTTACGGAAAAATTGC